TCACAAACAATACTTCCATGCTTAGGAACAATACCAAACAACAATTTTCATATTAATTGACTCAACAAGGGCCAAATAAGCACCAAAATCACGTCAACTGCATTTTCCCACACAAAATAACGCAAGCTAGCCCCGATTCGAATAAACCAAACCGTGCCAATGCCGACAAAGTGAGGTTGGTGGCGCCCAGTTTTGCCACTCTTGGAGTATATTTCTGTTAAACATGTAAATTATTTCGGCTTGTTTATTGTCGGATGATAAAAGCCTTTTAAAGATCAAATTAGGAGTTTCCTTGGGTACTTCAGTGGTTGATTATGCTGCAAACACTTACTGGTCTACATACGATACTCAACCTGCTCAAGTTTAGTACCAAATCTACTCTCATCTGTCGCAGAACTTCATGACAAGGGAAAAATCGTTTTGGAAAGTATTCGAGATATGGAGGTGAAATTGGGTCACATTATAATTGCCTTTAGCCAGGAGACAATGAATGAGGTTGAACAGTACAAGAACGCAAAGCATTTGCTGACTAGTCTGGTGGATGACTATAGATTTAAACCAGCGACGCTTAACAATATGCCTGTTACAGCTTATGTACTATTATATTTTATTGTTCCCTTGGGTTCAGAGTGGAACATAGAGTTTCAACAACATATCTCCACTTTCTTCTATTTTCTGCCATCCTCTTCACCTGGGTCCACGACTGACCATAATTTCTCATTTTCTCCTCACACAACCTCCCCTATATCATCCTCAATGTGACGACCCACTCGTCGCTTGCCATTTAGATTCCACTCGAGGGCCTGGCACGCAATGTCATTCAACGGTCTCCTCAATATATACCCGATCAATCCATCTCCATTTTCACCTACATATTTTTTGAGTGACTGGCTCTTGGTTGGTTTGTTCCAAGAGTTTCTCGTTAATAATTCTTTCTGGCTATTTGATCTTCAGTACGGAGCCAGCGAAGGCAGCTGTTGATGAAAGTCTGCAACCTGTGGAAAATTCATTAAAGTTAAGATTTTATCTTGGTAATTTTAAGTGATGTCAGCTCATGATGAAATCCTCCATGCGAATCTCACAGTGTCATACAGTAACATTAACTGATGACGACGTTCCGAGCACAAACTATTGCTCATAATCATATCAAGTCACTTACTCACACAACTTTTTCCTTCATTTATATACACGTGTGGAGTTGACTAGATATTTGAATAAAAATCAATATGGGATAATGTACATTCAGATATAATAGTACGAGTGTTATTGATCAATTACAATCAGATGGGAAATAAGATGTTTTTTACTTCAAAAATAAGTAACTTATTGAGCGTTATGATGTAAGTTAATTGAAAGAGAATTTTAAGATTATTTACTATACTCCTTTTCGTGACAAACACGCCAAGTTTTTGACCCGTATAGAAGCACTAACTTGACATTATTGTTGAAAATCTGAATCTTGCTCGTTATGTTGAGTGCAGAAGGTTTCCAAACTGGTTTGCGGTTTGATGAAGGTGTGTCTTTCCCTTCTGATTCTTCCTTTGATATCTTCATCCGTTCCGCCTGCCTGCATGTGGTTGAAACGATGCTGCCTAGATGAGTGCAGGAAGTAACCTGTGTCAATCAAATGTCTCCCGTTGATGGTGATTGGTGCTGGTTGTTGTGGCTGTTGGTTCGTCCGTCTTCTCTGTGTTCACCTGGAGTCCTACCTTCGCTTACAGGCTCTTCAGCCAGTTTGTTGGTTTTCGCCTGCTTCTAAGTCTTCGAGTTTGTGTGATATTAGACATAAATCATCCACTCGCGAGATTCAGGTCTTCTAGAATCTCCGCATTGGTGGTCCAGCGTACTTCTGTCTTTCCACTCCCCAAGCACAGTCTGACGCATTATCCAGTCCACCACAATTAAGAATATCATCGGTGATAATACTCAGCCTTTCCCTACTACTGCACTCACTTCAAATGTAGGCTTGGCTTAGTTTTCTGTTGTTGATCACCTGACACGTAGCGTTGTCAATATAGCTGTTGAATGAGGTCGATAAGGACTTGAGCGCTGCACACCGTAGTGCTGAAGCAGTTCCTCAAATACTCCTCGGTCAAAGCTGTCGAAGGCGTTTTCGAAGTCGATGAAGGAAGGCGAGGTGGATATTTGACCGAAATTCTATGCTTTGTTCTGTGATGACGATGCGTAGTTTTGAAATTTTATCAGCACATGACTTGCACCTTTTATTCTCCCCAGAATGACATGCATCAGTGTTTTACTTAGCGCGGACAAGAGTATTACTCCACGCCAGTTTTTGTAGATTGACTCGTGAGTCGCTCTTCTCTGGTAGCTTGACAAGGTAGCTAGTCTTTCTTTTAGTCAGCAGGTACCTTCTCTTCTTTCGAAGTCTTTTGTGATACTGACCGGAGAACATCTGCTGCAGTCTCTGGATCTGTTTTCGTTACTTGGGAGGAATTACGTCAGGTCCTGCTGCCTTTCAGATTGGATTCCACTAGTTTGATCTCATTAAGGACTTCTGCTATCGTTGGAGGATTGGTGTCCACTAGCACACAGCTCTGTGCGTGCTGTTAGTGGCAGTGTGTTTCTGGTCGAGTTGCAAGTGATGGTAGATTCAAGAGCCCTTTGAAGTAATCAGCTCATTGTTTTATTTGTCACTCCTAACACTCTTCTTCAGTTCTCTCTTTATTCAGTGCAGTGTACACTGAACTCAGCTTCTCCTTCTGTTGGGCATCTCTGAACTGAGTCATCTTCCCTTTCACTGTCCTCTTCTCTTCTACTGGCTTCCAGGTATCCGTTGAAAGCCATTCTTTATGCTCTCTCTTTCTTCATTCTAGAACAGTTGCACACGTCTGCTTGAACATCACCTTTCAGAGAAGTAGTTCCAATGTTCATCTACACAGGTTTCCTCGGTGATGCTAGGTAGTGTCATCCACTTTGTTCTGGTCTGATCAGTACTGAAGGCATGCATTGTTTTGTCCTCCAGTTTCTGAATGCTGAAATTGCTCTGTGGTCTGTTTCCAGTTGTTTTGGAGGACTTCATCTTCACCTTGAAGGTCCTTTTAACTAGATGATGGTGACTGTCCACATCTGCTCCCCTTCTCGACTTGTATCCAGAAGGCTAGCCGCATCTCCACTTCTTTGAGCAACATTGAGATGAAATCTATCTGGCTTATGGTGTGTCCATCAGGGGAAATCCATGTTTACTTGTTTATATCCTTGTGTTTGTACACACTTCCGCCGATCACCAAATCACTGAAGTCGCAGAAGTCTGGGAATAGTTCTGCGTCCTCATGCATTTCTCTGAGTGCCTCTCAACCCATGATGAGTTCTTTCCCTGTATTGTCTTCTCCTAGCTCGCTTGGAATTCATATCATCCATGAGGATTGTGATGTCACCATTAGGGATGTCCTCAATTACTGTTTGTAGTTGTCTATAAAAAGTTTCCTTCTTCTCTTATTCCGCTTTGTTTGTAGCACTGTGCGCAGCATTGAACCTGCCTTCCTTTTGAGTTGAGTCTTGCTGTCATGATCCTGGATGAAATTGGTCCTCACTTCATCAGAACTGTGGCTGCTGCTGGTGATGTTATGATAACCACTAACTCACTGTGTTTGTGGCTGTCTTCTGGGTGACCGGAGTAGATTACCTACTTACCAGTTGATAATCTTGATAGTCCACTTCAGTTCTATTCGCTTTCGCAGATATCCAGTACTTCTAGGCCGTATCTTCGCATTTCTGTGCTACTTGTGCGGCTTTTCCAGTCTCGTACATTGTACGGACATCCCATGACCCCATTCTTATTCTTGCTTTCATCGAGAAAAGATACATCGGCTGGCTGACTGGCTTCCTACAGGCTGGCTTTCACCAGCTCGCTATGTCACTTCGCCTCTTCGATTCGAGTGAGGAATAAGACTGCTGTTATTTGAGTTTTTGTGTTTTTAATATATTTTCTGTGTGTTGAAGTTTCTCTTGCGGTTTGAAAGATTTATTGGTGTAGGTTTGCTAGTCCAATGCTCAACCTTCCCTCTTAACGCGGGCTCGGGACTGACTGTAAAACCACCAATCTAGTTAACTAGGCGAGGTTGCAGCCTGTGTAAGTGAGGTTCAATTGAAACATAATAGTTGTGGCAGTAGCTACATTTGTATATACGGCTTATCAATGTGGGTGATTGATTTCGTCTTATGACATTTCCACTTCTGACCATAGATATTTTACGAAACGGGGAACTACAATACAGCATCTGAGTATCTGAAGAATGTCCGTCAACTGGTAACTCCTGGTACTCAGTGACCCAAATCCATAGTTATTTTTGTTCTTGTATTTTCGGATGCTTCGATCAGTTTGCTTTCATTTATCCTCCCATAGATTCGTATTTATTTATTTTCATCTTTTCGTAAAATATCAGTTTAGATTAGTAAACTTCAGTTCACAATTCTCCTTCAGCATTTGCCAAACGCCTTAATGTGAACATTGTGCTCTTTTTGATCAAACTAGCGTACACGTATATTCTAGTACTTCTTCACGTTTATTATTGTGTCCTAACGTTGTGCTTGCTCGACATCCACAACGTAAATCAAAAGGCACTTGAGAAGGCGTACACACGTGTATTATCGCAGTAATCAAAATTCAGAAGTTGAGCGAATACAAAAGTATCAATTGTAACACGCAATATTTAGAGCGATAAGCAAATCAGAGCCCAATTACATGGTGAAAGTATAATAATAATACTTATAACAGCTTTATTCCAAACGCTATTTGTGGTACAGGTATGGAATTTTCAGCGTACATTACAGTATATTGCATCTAATTACCTCATAAATTATATAAGATTTTTAAAATCAAAAGATACATAAATAAATAAAAAAACAGCGTAGAGTTTACATTTCAAAAAATGCACCACAAGATATGAAATATAAAGTTGATGTGTGATATAAGATGAGAACAACAGTGTAATGGTAACGAGGAAAGGAAAACAAAAACTAATGGGACTATTTGTTAGAGTGCCGCAGTAAGTTTATCGTGTCATACCTAACGGATTTCTCATCACATAACAGCTGTGCCAGATATGGTATTGTGGAGTTTTTGTATTTGGTAGTCCTAGCATATAGCCTCCTATAGCTGCTTCTAGTTATACCAGATGAAATGCAAGGAGACAGCTGTGTATAGAGAGGATGCTCGGGGTCCGACAATATTGTATTCGCTAGTTTCTTACATGATATAATATGTCTATCTACAATAGTGTTAACCAGTTGGTTTAACGATATCCCACTTGCCCTACTAACGGCTTTTAGTGCCCTTCTCAGCGAAGCAAAGTCTTTCTTAAGTAGTCCAGGAAAGATTAATGGGGAGCAGTAAAGGGGGATGGGTAGAATACAAGAATTTACAAACTGAGAAAGCAAAGACTGCTTTATGCCAGACTGCCTAAATTTCCTAATGTAGAACGTTAAGCGAAACATCTTTCTAGTAACTAGCAAGATGTGGGAAGACCAGGAAAGATCGGTGGAAAAACTCAGCCCAAGGTACTTGACATTAGATGTATTTTCAACCTCTGTGCCGTCAATGAGAGTGGGGCCATGTGAGCTAACTAGTTGCTGTAGGTCACATTTACGTCTGAAAGTGAAATTGACTACCTGACATTTAGACGGATTAAGCTTAAGTCCGTTTGAAGAGGACCACTGACTAATTTCCGACAGAAAGTTATTTAATTTGGAACAATCTGACTGAGAGTTGACAGGCATAGAAACCGAGAGGTCATCGGCATACTTAACAAAAGTGGCTACATCAGAATGAGGCAAGTCATGTAAGAAAAACGAAAACAGAAAGGGAGAAAGAACAGCACCTTGAGGAACACCAGCTAAAGTAAGTGAGGTAGTGGAGGACTTTCCATTGTAGACGGTGTACTGCTTCCTATCAGAAAAATAGGAATGCAACCACTTATTTGTCCAGCTCTCAGCCTGTGTTGCAGCAAGCTTACTTAGCAAGAGAGACCTGGGAACAGAGTCAAATGCAGATGTGTAATCAAGGAAGGCACAGCGAACGTATTTAGCTCCTTTATCTAAACTAGAGACTATACTATGATGTAGGACAACAGCGGCATCTAACGTACACCTACTATGTTTATAAGCAAACTGGTTGGGGTCGTTGAAAGGCTTTAAAGAGGGTTCAAGATTAAGTAAAATAAGTCTTTCCATAACTTTCAAAAAGGTGAGGTAATAGCAATGGGTCTAAACTTAACATTAGGTCCACTTGTTGATTTAGGCACTGGAACGATCTTGATATTTTTCCATGATTCAGGTATAATACTTTTGGAAAACGATTCGTTGAAAATGTCAGTTAATGGGGAACACAAGATGTCGGCACACTTCTTAAGGATAACAGCAGGAACACCATCAGGACCGAGGGACTGAGTAGGCTTGAGAGATTGAAGACACTTGAGGACATCATTCGTGTTAAAGCATGAGAAGCAGTCATTATTTACACTATTTGAGTTAGGAATCATAACATTTGCTGGGATACATATGAAGGATTCATTAAGCATGTTAACATCTACAGAAATATCATTCATCATTTGCTTACCACCTGTGATTTCCTTTAATAACTTCCACATATTTGATGGGGATTTACATGAAAGAAACTTCTGGTTATAGAGAGCATTCAATCTTTGTAATTCAAGCTTAATCAAAGTGTTCATTCTCTTAACACCAGATTTGTTTTTCATTTTGAACAACCTTTCTTTTTCACGGCGGAGCTTTTTGAGTTGAGAAGAGGAGAAGCGATCGAATTTTAAGAAGATTGTCTCTTTTGGACAACAAACATCAAGACAGATGAGTAATAAAATGGGTCACTATAAACCTAGTAGTCTCTTTCATCTTTAAGTTTAATTAGAAATACCAGTATGTCTGACTTAACAGAACTCATTTTATCAACTGGCATCCCTTATGAAGTGGGACGTGTGCTTCCAAAGCATATCAGGAAGTAAAATATAACTCATTTTTATATTGATGGCCATTTTATAACATTACACGATATAGTTGCTTCAAAAGTCAGAAGTGCATTATAACCTTCGGATAGATTTTTCTTGAACAACTGAAATAGTATTTCTGAGACATGTAAAGTCAATGCAATGTGACGTATTTATTACCATTGAGACATAATGGGTATTGATTGTCAGGGGCAGAAATCTTGCAAATAATGGTGACGCTTGAGCTTCCATATGACCATCTGTGAACTGTCACATTGAAAAAGTGTAGTGTGATAACAATGAAGTTAAAGTGTTAATCCGGAAAATGCTGGCAAACTTTTCCTCAAATGGTCAAAATTTGGGTGTACTGAGTCAATCACAGCGATTAAAAGAAAAATTTTTGTTTCGGCTTATTTGACCACTGTATACTGCGATCATTCTAGTGACTGGTCCCCGCAAACAAATCGTAGAATTTTCAGTATTTGGCACCCCTTTTTTATAGAACTCTAATAATTTGCAAAATTATAGGTTCGAAAGCTTTTGTGTGCATTATCTGTTCATTATTCTCTCACTGAATGTTATTTTCAAGTATTGGTGAATTCGCAGAAGTTAAATTCAAGGACCATTGGATCGGGTCCCAGTGGCTCAATGGTTTACGACCTCGCCTTGTAACCAGAACAACCTGGAGTGGAAACCCGGTGGTTACGTATTGCAGAAGAGCGCAAAACTAGGACGAAATAGCTATCCAGTATTCCTATGTTATCCAGTGGTTCTCCAAATGATGTCAGCTCATGGATAAATCCCATATGGAATGTTATTTACTTTCCTCTACATTTCATATCAATTAGTTGGCCTAGAGTTCGAATGAGTTCTATTAGGACATAGTATGAGAGCCAAGTGTTTTGATAATTCATATGTCGGGATATTTCTGAAATCTGCTATTCGTCTTATTCTTGTAACCTGGTTTATGTATTTTCATTGTACCATACATTCTACTAGCGATATTAATTTTAGGCATTAAATTACACCATTTAGACCCACTGAGTGACAGCTTCATACCACGTATTAAATCCACTGTGGATTTCTTAATCTTATTCTTTACTGTATCTACAGTCTTCTTAATTTCCTCATATAGATCCGTTTCAATGTATTCAGTGACTTTTTTATTGAATCAGATTTATCTAAAACTACTGTAGAGTTTCCTCTATCAGCTTTTGTGATGACGATGTTTTTATCCTTTTCAAGATTAATTAGATCTAATCTTTCGATTTTGTTAAGTTTGGCTGTGCCTTCCTTTATTTCTGAAGAGTTAATACACATTGAGTCCGATCGAACGTCTTCTACTGTCGTCTTATCTGTTGAACTTAACGCTACTTCTATGTTAGGGGTGACATCTTCCGGTTTTAGTTTGCTAACCGCTACACTGAAATTTAATCCTTTTTCAAGTAGTTTTATCTCACTAGGGACTTCCTTAGTTTTATTTGATCTCACGAACGCACCACAATGTTCCTCTAATATCACACCTTCAAATCAGTATATTTAGGTAAAGACGAATATGCAACGCTGTGGTTGGATAAATAACCAGTTTAGCTGCCCATTCTCGAGTGTATTAAGCAATATTTGTCTGTTGGATGAGAAATTCGGTAACGCAGTTGAGTGACACAAAGCTGTTAGCAACTCTTATTTGATAATGAATATCTAGATAAGTCATTTCACAAGAGTTCATGAACCTAGATTTTCAACTAACCGGAGCTTATCTGTATAGATAGCATAAGTGAAATCTTTCCGCCATTTTAAAACGAAAATGTCTGTTGAAACTAACTACTAGTTTATCCATGATTTTTAAAATCTTAATCTTACTAAATGTAGTCTCAATTGGAATACACTCTCGTGTCGTACATGGCCTGTCAGCTAGATATTATATTTGTTTATTTATTTATTCATGTGATAAAGCTCTAAGTCTTCTTTATTGACCTGAAAAGGTAATAGAAAACAATCCTACATTCCATTATGGATAAAATTTTATTTTGACAAACTCACACTGTATTATGTAGTATTATTACATAGTGCTGATGATATTTCGAGCACAATTTATTGCTCATAATCATCATATCAAGGTACTCACATAACTTTCTTGCTTCGTTTATATACATCAGTAACGTGGTCATCAGTGAATATTACTGTACTGTACACCGTGTGATTTTAATAAAATAAAATTTCATCCAAGTTTTATCCTAATATCAAAATTCCTACGTTGTTTTTACTACAAAATTCTGAAAGTTCAGTTAACCATACGGAGGGAGAGCAGATAGACTGGCATTTTTAAACCAGTCAGTGTTTTTCTACAAATCAGTGTAGTAGTGTAAAGGTCTAGGATAAGTTGGTTTTCAGTACAGCCAGCCAGCTGTTGTAGAGGGAATAATATCCGAAGCTTTATATCAGCATATCAATACTGTTACGAATTCAGTCGTTGTATCTCTTATATTTCTTCCTCTTCTCTCTCCTTCATATCTCCCTTTTTCATCTCTACTTCATCTGCGTTTTTCGTGTTTAATCACTACTGCTGGTAATTAACTAAGATATTGAATTGAATGCACTGGTGCACGCAAGATCATTTTCTTTAGTAAGAGACTCTTTCGAATATGTGTTGCATAATACTAATAATAATGGTTAGGTAGGAGAGCGAAAGTGGTCGGCATAAAAATGTTATAGATGTAATAGGAAGCAAAATATTTGTATGAGTGTAGATTTTGTCACGTACCGACATTAATCAAATTTGCCTTTTGCTTGTAAGACTGCCTAAGTATAGTAACTTCGACTTGGGGATAAATGTCAAAGGATAACCAAATAGTTCATAAGTTTCTAAAACGTTTTGAGGAAGCAGGTGTTGTATTCACGTGTTTTCCGTTAACCACACTACGAAGGTTTCGCTATCACGACAAGCCAATAAATATCTTTACTCTGAGTTTGTTGGAGATCGGAGTAATTCCAGAGTAAGTTTAGTCTCCTATCGATATCAGCTACAGACCATTCCTAGAACGCAAGAAGCAATGAATGTGTGTTTTGTCTTTGCTTGGGACTCATGAATAGGCAACTTCGAGACAGATTACTTAAAGCTGTAATTAAGTGTTTTAACTGATCGTATTCATGAGTTCCAGTGTGGCTATAGACAGTTTACAATGTGTGAAGAAGGGTGGCCGCCCTATAAAGTGAATTGGCAAAAGCTCGAATTTATCAACTATTTCCTCCCAACCTTATAACTGAATATTATAGTGTGATCACTTCATAAAGTGATGCATGTGAGTTTTATCGCTTGTAGGAGTCGTAGAAGCCAATGTCAGAAGAATTCCAAAATGGGATCTGGTAACTATCTTGTTCTCACTGGTTACTAGAAGTCCTCCGACTAGTTCTGATTAGTAACAAAATCAGCTTTCAAATCAATAAATAATCTAACGTTACTGAACTCAAGATTTTTTCACCATAAAGCCTACAGGTATGTAAGCAGTATGTATCAAGAAGACTGGGATAAGACCTTATAAGGTCAGTTATTTAACAAATCAGATTTCTCTTTCTATGCTTCCTTTTCTATTGATTTTTCAGACTAAGAAAAAATCAGGTCAAATCTAGCTGCAGATAATAAATGAGTCGGCTAATTCAAATTATTTCGCTTTGATCTGAAACAATATTTATTGTTTCATAAACTGATTAGGAAGAGTTACTAGCCATCCAGATCTAATTATAAGAGTGAATTAGGAAATGAAGTCCACTTATTACTTTATTAATGAAACACTATGAGATATGATACAACCAGTCCCTTTCACCTGCATTGATTATGTTTAGTGACCATATAAATTCAATAAAGACTGAAAAATATACGATCAACTGGTAAAATGATAACACTGTCCAGTAATCGATACTTTTGTTTGTAGGAATCTATCTCTGAAAATAAAAACATAAATGTCTGACAAGACTTTCGATTAAATTACTCCTCTCGTTCCACCTTACACCCTTGTCTTTGAGGTTAGAAAATACACACTGTACCTTTCATGGTGATCAATGCTGAGAAACGAGTAGGCTGACTTTTTAACTTGAAAATGAAAATCAACATTAGCAAACAAGTTGTTTCCGATGACAGTCTGACTTGCTTTGATTATTGATTGATTAAACGTCATAGATGGCACCCTTAGAGCGTGATAAGAATCTCACGACTCATCCACTCGAAAGTATATTTATTATAAATCAGTTATTCTCTACTTGACCCTGAACGATTTATATCACAATGAGCAAAATCAATGGTGCTGGTGTAATACTTAATGGGAAACGACATGATATCAAAAGATTTCTAAAATATCACTAATCATACTACTATTCTAAAATTCATATTAGTGTGTAGTATCAGCGTTAAAATTGTGAAACTCAGAAATGCACATTACAATAAATGACCCCATTTCTAACAGAAGAGAAATTTTAAAAAACAACATGAAGAAACAGAGATCATGTACTCCTTCATTCTTGGCGAAAGCAACATTGAAGATAATTTTACTCGCTTTATTTTTTCTTTACAAAATGATACAAAGATAGTGTCGACGTCAATTCAATATGAAGTGAAATAAAGCTAGTCAGTAAATTTCCTTTAACCAGTTGTCCCTAGAAGACTTACAAATTGTCAAGTCAATTTTGGTCTAACTTGTAGACAGATTAATTGAGGAT